CTAAAAGAACAGTCCCTACACGCGGATAGAGATTTCGGGCTTAAAGAAAGAATCCCGGGATTTTTTGATACCAGTCAGAGAGTGCTAATGCTATTTTTTGAAAGTGCGATGAAAATTTTTATGCAAGTGTACTATTAATTCTTTCGAAAGGTATCTTTACCTAAGATTGTTCTACTGTCCAGTAGATGCGCGAACTTTATTTCTGTTGTCCACAGCTTGACATCGTCTAGAGGATTTTTTGGCTACAAGTTTTTCTCACGTTCAGTGAGGTGGTGCAGCTCACGTTAACTTTTTTCTGCTGTAAAGATGAAGCGCGATTATGCAAAAAGCAGCACAATTTTTACGCTCATAGTTTTTATAACTTTTTTTTCTTTTCCTACACGCAAGCAGGAGTTTGCTTCAGTTGGGTATTCTATTAGGACGTCGATTGTTCTCTGGGAGCCCCCCGCTCCCCGGGGAACAATTTTTACACGACGAAGATTCAGACTTTTCTACCCTGCGAAATTTTTTCATGGAAGGTAACATGAGCAAGTTGTTAAGAAAAAGAATCTTCTTCACAACTGTGCTCTGTTTCTATTTTATCAACCCAAAGGCGGCAACGACCCCTGTTGCCACAATTGCTGCGATTTGGAGGGGCGCGAAATCGCGACAAAAATATGATGGAAAAATCATAACGACTAGGAGGCTAGCACCAGAGATGAGAAATTTATAGATTTTGTCAGCTTAAATACTTCGAGCAGCAGCAGGCTTTCTTGTAGACGACAAAAAATATTCTCATCCATGGTTGTAGCCCGAACAAGAACACAAGCAAAGGCAAACAACTACATGAATCAGTACAAGTTCCTAGAAAGTTGCATGACTTTTTTAGCAATTTGAATGTATTCGAGCGGAACAAATCGGAGGAGGATTGTTTTGTGTTGCTGTTGTGACACGGAACTAAAGTAAACTATCCGAAAACTAGTAGCAGCGGTGTAAAAATGCAGTTCTTTTAGAGTAAGATTTTCTCCTACTTCGGAGTGAAAAAAATCATAAACAAACGAAATAGGTAGTATACGTAGGCCCTAAGAAGATAGCTACGCGGATGATGTAGTATATTTCCTCCATGTTTTGAACACGACAACACATGAACTGTTGTAGTATATTGGTCGCATGTTATGATAAAATGGCTTGAAAAAATCGACGTCTCGATAAGAAGAACACAGGAGAAAAAAGCTAAATTTTTATGCGACTGTATTTTGGCCTACTGCATTTTTATATTTTCAAACAACGCCTCGGTATTTTCAGAACGTCTGTAGCTCTTGCAGACCGAAGATGAGAATGCGCCCTGCTCTAGTCGAAAAAAACACCAAAGGCCGCGCACCAGGAAGACTGAACTGACAACAAACCACTCGAAGAAAGCACGGTCACAACTGGAAGTGCCTTTATGAAAGTGTATATCTATCAGTATTTTTATGTCATTTTTCCCCGAAGATGAATGTACATGACAAGATTTTTAGCAGCTCTTTGTCCATCTATACAGGTATAATTTTTATACGTGGCGGTAGTAGGAGAGTAGAAGCTAATACATCCGTTCTGTCAACGTCCATTCGGAGTAAAAAATGATCGGCACAAGAAGAATCAAAATTTTAGTGCCAGATCGTAGCCAGAATTATTCTGTAGCAGTGCTTACTATGAAAATGCGTCGTGGTCCTCTGGCCGCGTGGTAAGAACACAATTTTTTACGGAAGTAGATTTCTATTGCTACGATTCAAATTTTGTAGTCGACAACAAGGTCTGGACAAAAGAACAGCACCTATGTGAGCAGATGAACAAGAAACCGAGTACCTCCTTATAAAACGTAATTTGACGAACAATTTGAGTATTGGATGAAGTGCTCGCAAGATGAAACGATCAGTGGTAGAAAAAACGAGAATTATGACCACTTCGAAAGTGCCTACGCCTAGTAGACTACTACTATCTACTACGTGGGGAAATGGAAAACCACTAGACTCATTGATGGAGAAAATCAATCGAGTAAAATGAATATGTCTGGGTGTGGAAACTTGTGTTGCTTATACTTGCATTGCAAACTGGCTGCCTGTAGCTGTACGGCATGACAGCATGAGAAATTTCCCTCGGCTCCCTGCGGATTCATTCGTGTTTAGCATTACAAACTGCCGTCCAGCACGACAAAAAAGCTGGCAAATGGTCTTCATGCATTACAGATCTTGTTGTCCCCGAAGTCCTGCATCACAAATCCAGACCCAGTCATATTTGCAACGCATACACTACGGAAAGAAACTACGTGGTCGGCGAATCCCTAAACGACACCGCGTCCGCGCGGTTGGCCAAAGCGCACCAGATCGTGAACAGTGAGGAGATGAACCAAACCAGTTCGAGGACTTCTTGGAAGCAAATCTTCTTCGAGTGCGATACTTTTGCACAGGATATGATGCGCCTCCGCCTGTTTG